AAGGATACTGAGGCATCGGTGTAGAAGTAATGAAGTTTCGGTTGGCTCGATAGGTTCGCAGACAAGGGGACAATTCGAGTGTACCGGTCGGGTTAATTGAATTTATGGCTCGATATCCCGAGCGTGAACGATTACGATCGGCGCTAAGCAGGCTGGCGCGAATCTCCTGGATCCTCGTTAACGAAGGGACTCGAACAATACCGCCGATCGTTTAAACGGGGAACGAACCCAGCTACGGTCCCAATGCTTCTACCAGCAAAATATTTTTAATCAATGCAGTACGGTGTCTGGTAAGAAAATTTACAATCAGCAAACAGGGAGAAAATTCTGTTACATTTACATTTGGAGCATTGAATTGAAATTTCGTGTGATTTGTATTATAATTTTATTATCATGTATCAAAAAATGTGGCTAAGATCTGACATCTGATATCCGAGCACTCTTTAAATAATCATAAATGACTTGATGATGTACCAGCGTGGGGACACAGAATATTCAAATGGGAACATAACGTCCAGATTAATTTACATTCGGAGTACCCAAAAGTCTTCGTAGCTAACAGCCTGTGTAACATTTCTGATTCGATTCACATCGGTTTAAAGGAACAGTGGGGTTTGTTATGCACGTAAAATTGGTGTCGAGGTCGATTGATCACGGTATTAAGAATCGATACGAAACGGAACGAGAAGCTTGTAATCGGGACAAATGGCTAGAATTCTGCACAATTTTCGAACCAAGTTTCGCTAACGAGGCTCGCGCTCGAGACGGCAAGGAATCACCGATGGTAATCCAAGCTAAATTTCAGATAACTCAGCAACCGTGCCGACTGGATCTTGGATCCTTAACCCTGCAACTTCGACGTAGTCGACGGCGAACTTGAAACTTCACTGGTCCACGACCGTGTCATAAACTCCATTCGAAATTGCTCCCGTCGTAGGAGTAACGCGAATTACTCGTTCGAAGGCCGTGATCAATTTTCCTAAATCTGCGAATTCTGCTGGCTCTTACTAAATACAGAGTAATTTATGCGGACAGTCAGAATTTTAAGTGAACGGCTATCCGAGAAACGAAACCCCTGAGAGACGGATGATCGTTAATGCGTGGTACACGATAACACGTACTCGTTTCCCCGTAGGATCTCATTAACCGGGTTGCTCGATGACTTGGAACACGTTAATGCTCGCATACACGTCCTCGAGAATCGGCATCGATCACTGTCGGGCCAAGAACTTCAAACGTTACCTCGACACGCACCACCGATTTACATATACGACCAGGGAAGACCGAACGATAATTGCGAACTGTTTTTCAATAGCGATTATGCCCACGAGCAGGACAGCTACCAAATTCATCTCTAGCCTCGTTTCCGAGAAGCAAACTACATTTCCAACTGGTTAAAAAAGCTACCCAAGCGCTCGAGCATTGAATAATAAATGCCTTTTTAATTACTCGTTGAAATGTCGCCAACATTTATTTGTTAATCATTCGTGAGAATATCTTATTCACGTTATACATTGTACAATATGTTTTAAGACTTATGAACGGGGCTGTGCTGAAACTCCGAAGTATCTGCATACAATTAAAAGCGTACAAGCCGTGGGTGTAGCGAGATCGTTTAAGCGGGCGCACGTAATCGAGGCAAAAATGCAAATTACCGAGAAGAGGGGCTTGCAATTTAATCCGTGCGATCTTTCCTTGGAAAATACTTTCCTCCGTATCACACAACGAACAGACCCTTTCGAACAGTATCCGAACGCGAGACTGGATATGCTCGAATAGATTCAATTATCAAAGGAATGGAATTATCCAAATCCGATATCGGTCGTTCGATCGGTGTCCCTCGAACCGTCTCGCTTCCGAGCAAATTGGAATCAGGACCTTATCAACGTAGCAACGCTTTCCGGATAAAGCAAGCGCGTAATAAGTTTGCGTTAAGTGTTTCATTCCGTGAAACCGTGTTACCAAATCTATTTCGTTGCCCTACAATAACTCTATTTGATTCTTACAAACCATTCTACAAATTGGAAATCGATCAACACATTCAGACTGTAAAAATACATTACGAGGGCATAATAAATCTGTGCCAACTGTACTACTGAATGAGATTATTTTACCAAATCTATTTCGTTATATTAAATTATTCCGTATTTGTGTAAACTGGAAATTGATGTTAAAATTACAGGAATTGTAAAAAAGAGGATATGCCAGGAATATGTAAAATGGTAGAGTAACCGTATATGAAATTTGTATTCATGAATTTAGATATGAACCCTTTCGTCTGCCGCTACTTTGTCTACAAACACGCATCTGTTTCCGTGTACCTTCCTCCGCGTACGATCGCGGGGTGTCTGTAAAACCGGCGTTACAGCACCATCGACCAGCAAAAGCTTCACTTCAGACCCCACTCTCCGCCTCTCACGACCACCCTTTGTCACCCGCAAACAACGGCCCGTTTTCACCCTCTCCACCCCCGCCGCTTTCTTTCTGTATTACTTCTCGTCCCGTCGTTACTAGCCCTTCCACTCCCTGCTCCTCTTTCTTTTTCCGCTCTTAGCAGTACATCCTGCAACACCCATCATTGTTTTCCGTGACAGCCGTCGTTTCGAAAGATGAATCGGAGCCGAAGAGCCGGCTTTTCACTTCACCGGTATCGATAAGGTGACGATATTTTCTTTAACAAAATAACGTATAAATCAGAAACCGTTTCGTGAAAAGAAAAATCATACGTTTATTTGTTTCATTCGATTGAAAGTTCTTTAATGATTAAAACGTTCGTATAGCAATTTTAAATCGTTTCGTTGAAACTAAAAAGCCTCGGGCCGTTTATTATAAAACGTAATGAACAACGCAGCACACACACATGTTATTACTTTAACAGAATTTCATTTTGATGTTTTTCACATGGAAAACCGACGGACAAGCTTGGAATCAGAAACAAGAAGATTCGTTTTAATCGTTTTGGTACTCGAGCGAGCGAACGAGTATGTTTTCTCAATTTCTGCTGCTGTGGAACGGATCGCGTCGACGGAAAATTGAAATTCGTCAACAGTCGGTTCCGCGTCTGTTCGCAACAGTCTCGAACCCTAGATTTCAGCACGCTTTGTGCGATCCTGCGAGAAACGCGACACGGAGGAGGCGAGAACGTGTCCGCAGTTTCACAGCGCATTCTCTGCCGATGCATTAGTCTAATTGAAATCCGGATAGCGTCGCGCACGTGACCGTCTCGAGCAGTCACGCTTTCGAATAGATACAGGCGTGTCATGGATGCTCGCCTGGATCGGTCGGTCGTTTTCGCAACGGCTGACGCGATCTTCCTTAACAAAATCGCGTTCGTTCGACAGGATTTCGAGGAATTACGATCACTCAATTTGTATACAAAATCGAACTTATAGAATATCAATTAAAAAACTAGAAGAATTCCCTTTAATCCTTTGAACAAAATGAATTTTGCTGCTACCTCTTCACGCATTTTCTATATTTATATTCGTCATGTTCTTTTTATACTTCTACAGTCTAACAATTGGAATTCGTTAACTTAATACGAGCTTGAAATTTGAAGTTGAATTCTATTTTTAAGTATGAGGAATGCGAACGAGTACGATTCGTTTTGACTCTATCCCGTTCTCCGTTTTGCTTTTCTTCTCGGCCTTGATCGCCTCGCACGGTGCAAGGACTGCGAAGAAAAAGGAAAGGAGCATGCACCAAGGAGAAGCGGCAAGGGTGGAACGAAATCTGAATTCCTCTCCTGTCCTGGGCAAACGTTGACTCCAAAAGATAACACATCTAATCGCTTCGTAATGGAATAAATTCAATTGTCATATTAATTGTCATACGTGTGGAATGGGATTTTAAAAGAAACCGAATCGCTACGACGTGACGCTTGTAATGGGAATCTTCCGGGAACTCCGCCGAGTAAACGTGATAATTTTCCACGAAAGCGCACAATAACAATAAAAATAAGGCATCGCAATCGACGTTCGATTTGCAAAGAATGATCCCACGTCGTCCGATGTTATAAAGCGACGACGCTTAATAACAATTTTCTCGTCTCCCATTAAGACCGTACCATAAAATCAAGAATGTTTGTGTTACATACGTCAGTTCATTATCTCTTTTTCGTACAACGTAGAGGAAAGCAAATTGTGGTAGCGACGTGGTGTCGCAAGAAGGTCGATTCAAATTTATCACGGCTGATCGTTTCATAATTATGGTCGGTTTGTTTATCCGGTTAGAAGTTGCAGAACGAAATCGACAGGTGAGATAATCGAGGAGCGGGACTTCATGCCTCTGCACACATCCGTGTTGCAAATTGTTATTACAAGGTGCAGTGTGCGAGCGGCGGTGAGAAAGTAATTTGCATCGTATGCGCGTTCATCACGTGCCAACTCAATTATGCTTGTCAGAGGATAAAAGTTCAAATATAAAATAATGTGAGACAGCTTGGTGAACGCGAGACAATCTACTCTAATTAGAATGGAACGTCTTAATCTCTTAGCGCTGCCATTTCCGGGGTCCAATTCAAAGCGAAAATACGGGAATGCGTGATTAAATGGTTTACGAAATAAGGAAGCGAACTTGGATGACGATTAGTCTGGAAACGTTAAACGGAGAGACGCGCGTCATCGATTGCGAAAGATTTAAGACGGTAAGGAATGAAACGACTCGAAGGAACATGACGACGCATCAGGAAGATGAGAAATCATTAACCTTGCGTGCTCACGGCGACGAGCACCGGAATTTGTATGCGTCATACGGTCGTCCTGAGGGACGGTTAAAGAGAATTACAATGCATCGACTCATCTCTTACACGCAATAACGACGCGTATCCGTCAGCTTTGAAAACGATGAACCGTACATTTTCCATCAAAACTGGATCAACCACGTGCTCGAACGACTTGTAACTTCTCGTTCACGTTTCTCCTTATCCTCTTCATATTGTTGCGCATTTCGACTCCATTAGATATTTAATATGTAATCATTTGGTTCGTGAATTCACTTACCTTCGGTGTTCTTCTTGGCGATGCCAAAGCCGGCAGTGGGTCGTCGCCATCCCCTCCAGTTGTTGCACAACGACTCAGGCTCGCTGCTCCAGCTGCACAGAGAATCCTCCTCGAAGCGGTCGGAGTCGTCGAAGGAATAACGATCGGTTTCTTCCCATTCGATTATCTGTGGACCGTCTGTTTCGCGACGACGAACGTTACACACGGCGGGTATGGCAGCCGGGTCTCTACCACCACGTGCACCGTCACCCCCATTGTTACCACTGTTACCGGCACCGTTGGCACCGCCACCCCCGCCGCCGCTACCACCCACAGCCACGGGAGACCGAGCCAGGTTGCCCGCCAGGTTTAATAGTCGTTCCAATTGGCACACGCGACACTGCGCCCCCGAACGACCACCACCGTGCTCGTGCTCCGTCGACGGTTCCACCGCGGTGATCACGAAGCGACGACACCGCCGTCGTCTCTCACGAGCCGAGCCACTGTTCCAAGCGAAAACCCTTCAACCCACGCGGATCGCCGCCTGCGGGAGAACAATTTCGCGTGGTTACTTAAGGGGTCGTCGTACATTTTACCTTAGAATCGAGAATGGTAAACATTCGATTCGTTGAACACTTTAATGGAACAATGAAAAATCGATACTCTTCAAGAGTCTCGACTAGCTAACGAATAGAACATTTATCCGACCTAGTAGGAATCTGAATCATTCTTCCGTTTCAGAATCCACACGTAACATGTAAAAATATGCGACACCAGACGTTATTTACACACTGCTCAGAGTCTTTTTATGCTGGATTTCTTTCTTCTGACCTGGTAATTGACCTTACGAATAACACAGGGGAACAGGTTGAAAACTCGGCTTGGAATGAAAAATAAAAAGAATTTCGTGTTTACAATTCGCATGCCGTCGCGAGAAAAGGAGTTACCAGTATCACGCGTACGGTGTTTCTGGGTTACACATAGCTATACCTCGTCGGCCAGGGCTTTTCATGATCAAGCACCTATGAAATTTGTTGATTGAACTCTGATTCGCCAGGCACGGCAGGGTAATTGGTAAAACCGAGAGCACGTCTCTAACCGCTGTTTTACCACCACCGACACGGCGCCTATCCAATACTCCCCCTCTGTAAGCTCCCACCGCCAGCAACCACGGCTACTTTTAATTGTCCCCCGAATCGGTGTACACGCAACGTTACAATACCACCCCGTACTAAATAATAATTGCCGAGAGATCGAGTTTTCCATTCAGAGGAAGAGTCCGATTATTTTCAACCCTTCTCTATTAATTCCGGTCGACGTTTAATGATTCAGACCGATACATCTCAATCATAGTACTGTCTACAATTCGCGCGCGCCGAAACATTTGGCGTATTAATTGACTCGCAACGATCGGTTACATATGCATTTGTAAACTGCTAAACGGGAAGACGTCACCGTTCGCTTTAGAATGTTGTTTCTCGTTTGCTTTTTAAGGATAAATCGTTTTTCGATCCGTCGCCAGAGGTTGACCTCCTTTCAAATAAAAATAAAACGAATATTTTAAATAATTGATGCGAACCATCGAAAGTACTTGTTTATATTTAAGACCGTTCGAAATGCTGAGTATATAAGCGGGTAAACAATGGTGAAAGTAACTCGACGAAAGTAACGATGCGAGGAATAAACATGAAGCAAATATTATCGATGCAGCGAGAATTATCGATGGATCTAGAAGATCTAACGAATTATTGTTAAGAATCAAGAAATGTTTGACACTTGAGAAAAATGAATGAACGTTCGAAAACATCGAATGGCTCCAAAACACGACGCGAAACGGTAACAGCTGATTCACGCCGCTCCGATATATGAAGAATCGTATCGATTTTCACGTGAAGAAGTATCGTTCTTATGTACTGAATAATTTCGCGCCAACGCAATGAATCGTGAATAAAAAAAGGCATCGTCAAGAATATCGACGAACGTGAATTAATGTAGGAAGAAAAAGATCTAAAGATACACGGTATGCACATAGTTTGTCGGGAACGTCAAAACGAGTGGCGGAAGATTAAGGTTAGAAACGATCGTGTTGGTTCTAGGATCCGAGCGAAAGTATTGAAAAAAATATTGGATAGATCGACACGAACGTATCGGCGAGGCGAGAGACGAAGACATAGGGGACCTTGGCAGGTCGACAGACTCACGTCAAGAACGTGCGACGACCCCGAGCCCGCACAGGGGAGCAACCCCTCTCCCTTCTTATGATACTTCTAAGATCGTACGTCTCACTGTTTCACCTTTCACACTTTTTGTACATACGGATTCTGACTCTTTTCCTGCTTACCTTACCTTCCCTCTCTGACAAGTTTACCGTTTCGTCACTGGTGCACTTCACACCCTTGCTTTTTTTTACTACTTACTATTACTACTATTACTACTACCAACACCACCGAACGAACAGTACGGAACCAGAACAGAATGAGAAGCAATACACAAACATAATATAATACATATAGACACGTACACACATAAAACGGCGCACTCGACAACAGAGTAGGACAGCTGAGCCACCACTGCCCCACCAGTTTTTATGTAAGAGACATCTTGCACTGTGTACGCGGTACCTTCCACGAAGGTTAAGCCCGACACGGGCGCACGGACGATTACGATAATTTACGTTAAAATTACGCACTACACCACTGTACTTGATGTGAAACTCCAGCTACGCTACCCCATCGACGACAACAACAAATATGGCGAGGAAACCTCCTCCTACGCCTCTCTGCTTCGACTGGCGAGCTCCAACGACCCCTACCCGACTCCATCTCTCGGCCTTCCTCGGCTATCCTCGGATAAGTCCGGTTTTCCCGGCATTTTATTCGAAACGACTTTTCATTTCACATCTTTTGACACAATTTATTTTATTGTATACGTATGCGTTGTATTGTTGGATACGTGAGTGCATATAATTCGAGACTGGTTATTAAAACGTATGTCAATTAGGAAATGAAATTACGTACAAAATCTTTGAGGTCTAACGTACATGCGCATATACATATGAAAAATTTCCCGCGTTTCAGCTGGTTTCAATCACGTTTCAACACAAGGTGCACGACGTATCATTTCGTACTTCATCTCTTGTATAAAACGTACTAAATTGAATAATAACATGGCTGATCAGTCCAGCAGTAATAATACGACTATAAATCCAGAGAATGTAATAAAGATCTTAATGGCAACCGATATTCATCTTGGTTTTCAACATAATAGGAACACAGGTTGGTTTGCTTTGACAGCGAAGTAGTTACAATGATTTCACACTATTCACTGATTAATGTCAGGTACGACGTTCGAGGATAGCTTTATAACATTTGAAGAAATACTTCAATACGCAAATGAGCATGAAGTCGATTTCATACTTTTGGGTGGAGATTTATTTCACGATGCTAAACCATCACAAACTACAATGCTGAGGTGTTTGGAATTGTTAAGGAAGTATTGTTTAGGTCCCAGGTAAGTGATATTCATTTAATCTTATATTTCTTTTTTAATATATTTTATCTGTGTATATTCATATATTTTGACTATGTCTTTCTTAGGGAGATTAAAATTGAGTTCTTAAGTGACCCCAATATTGTATTTGAACACTGTGCAAATAAAGTAGTGAATTATGAAGATCCAAATTTTAACGTCAGCATACCAGTATTTTCTATTCATGGAAATCATGATGATCCAAGTAAACAATACAAAATTCATTCAGATGTAATATAATACTTTCTCAGCACATATTTTATCGTTAATAAATAACAGGCTTAGCTGCTGTTGGGTCATTGGATATATTATCAGCATCTGGTCTGGTAAACTACTTTGGGAAATATACAAATCTGGTTAATATGAAAATTCATCCTTTGGTCATAAAGAAGGGCGAAACCCAAATTGCCATATATGGTTTGAGTCACATAAATGATAAAAGATTAGCAAGATTGTTAAACGAATCCAAGGTGAGAACAGAATTATCTACAGATGTTTGGTACATAATTTATACTTAATGTGTGTCATTCCTTTACAGATAGAACTGCTCTCTGTACCAGATGAAGAATTCTTCAACATACTCGTTTTACATCAGAATCGTGTACCGCATTGCAACTATGATTACATTCCACAAACAAAATTACCAAAACTGCTGCATCTTGTTATGTGGGGTCACGAACATGAATGTCGTATCGACGAAGAGTTTGTCCCACAGACTAAATATTTCATTACACAACCAGGTTTACTATGCGTTACTATATCGACATATATTAAAAACTAGTATTACAATTAGTATTTATATGTACACTTGAAATTACAGGGAGCTCTATTGCGACCTCTTTATGTGAGGGTGAATCAATACCCAAACATGTTGGCATTTTAAAGATACATGGGCAGAAGTTTAAGATTGAGAAACTGCCGCTGAAAACAGTTAGGCCATTCGTTTTCGATGACCTATTCCTCCAGGAGGAAGAGATCATACCAGAGAAGAATGAGGTCACGTGTGATGCTGTCTTGCGCTTCGTTAAGAGATTCATAGAAGATAAGATGATTCCTGCGGCTGCAAGGTTGCTAACTGGCCACCCCAAACAACCTATCGAACCTCTAATACGTTTAAGAGTATATTATGAAACTGAAGAGCAAATATTTGATTTAATCAAGTACAGTTCAATTGTATTTAAACTCTCTGGTTAACTTAAGCTGATTGACAGTCGTTTATGAATGTAATATGTTTCAGATTTGGGCAATTATTTTGTGACGAAGTACTCAATCCCATGGATATGATTATATTTCGTAAACCATCAAGCAGCGAAAAGAAAACAAGAAATAGAAGGCCCAAAATCATTGGTGATCCAGATGATCCTGACGCCGGACCTATTGAATCTCGGAGCGAAAATGATTCGTTTCTAGATATGGCCAACGCTCTTGGTTACCACGACAACGATGATAATGTGAATGAAAATTAATCTGCATTATTCATATTGCATTTTTACATAATTCTTAAGTCTGAAGTCGTTGATTTTCCAATTAGGATGAAGTCGCTTGTATAAGAGATATTCCGCACAAGATAGCTCAGCATTTTAATCTGCCAAGTAATAAGATGAAACTGAAAGTTCTATCAAATAATGGTTTAAGTGAAGCACTGATTCGGTTTGTGGAGAAAGGAGATGGGGACGCATTTCTCGATCTAGCAAAATTTCAGAAAAAAAAGGCTGCTGAATATTTGGAATCTTGTGACGGTGATTTTGGAGAATTTTCAAACATCGTAGAGGCTATACACCCTTTTATAGAAGAAAGAGACGCTCAAGATGACGATAATCAGGTATCTTGAAAATAATAATGGTCACAATTTGTGTACATCTTTTACATAATATTATCATTAATTTATAGGTAAAAGAATTCTTTAGCACAAGAACTGTCAAGCGCGAGATCAGTGATATACTTTCGGACGATGATATTCTCGTTGATACTGATGAAGATAACAAATCCGTACAAAAAGAGAAGGAAAAACCTAAAAGGGGCAGAGGCAGTAGAGGAGGTAGAGGAAGCAGAGCCCGTGGTACACCAAAATTAAAATTTTGATATGCGAGCAAACGGAAAAGACAAGAGGTAAATAAGATGTTAAAAAAACTTGTTTCTTACCTTACACTTATTTCGTTATTTTTTATATAAATCATTCAGTATTTGGAATACTTTATGTTAATGGAAATAAACTTTATTATTTTTTTTAAATATATATGTTATTTAATTCCCCCTTTCCACAAGATTATATTTTTTATATTGTTTATCATCGTCCGAATGAAGTACAATTCGTACTTCGGTTTTCGATAGTATCGACCCTTGATTCTCGTGCCACTCGCCGGAAGTTGCCTTCTTTTAGACTTCCTGCGTCGATCGCGTTGCAACAGAGGATTTCAGTAGGTTCAATTTTCAGGCATTTCTAGTACAAAGACTTGTTGTTCCTCAAAAAATAAGTTAGTAGATAAATAAAATTAATGTATTTGTATAAGTTACGCTTAAATTCTCGTTCCGTAATTCATTTATCATTAAGATGTTGCTGGATTAATTTTGCTTTGTGAGGTTCATGTGTGTTTGTTTCGAATACTGTCACGACATAACCTCCTATACAATTAACGTACACAACATTTTGTGAATAAAGAGTGAAATACATATTTTGCAGAAATGCCACCAAAAAGGGGAAAAGTACAGAAAGAAGAGGTCCAAGTGTCTCTTGGGCCGCAACTACGCGAAGGTGAAGTTGTCTTCGGCGTTGCTCATATTTTTGCAAGCTTCAACGACACGTTCGTCCACGTAACTGATCTTTCCGGAAGGTATATTTAATATATAATTCAATTTTAGTTTCAAACAATTCAGTTTCTTGTATTTCAGATCGGTATGTTTATTTCTTACAGGGAAACTATTGCCCGAGTTACTGGAGGAATGAAGGTAAAAGCAGATCGTGATGAGGCTTCCCCGTATGCTGCTATGCTTGCAGCTCAGGTAAAAATATAAAATGTTGACATTTAATTTGTCATTTCCACATTCAGGCAGCTTCTAAGTTGTATTTTGAAAGCATAGGAGCGTTCATGTTTGTGGTATATTAAAATTTCTTTCTTAATGGAAGTGTGCCTTCGTACGAATCACTTCTTTACCTCAAAGAATACATTTCATTTAAAAATCTATTAGTAACTGAACGTAAAGTGATAGTAGAAGAAATAGTCAGAAGTCAGAAATATTAAATTAAGAATAATATTGTTGTAGGATGTTGCAGAGAAATGCAAATCTCTTGGAATCACAGCACTGCACATTAAGCTGAGGGCAACTGGAGGTAACAAAACGAAAACGCCTGGACCAGGCGCACAATCTGCATTGCGTGCACTCGCACGTTCCAGTATGAAGATCGGCCGTATCGAGGATGTGACACCGATTCCATCTGACTCTACACGTAGAAAGGGTGGTCGTCGTGGACGCAGGCTGTAATTTATATTTCTATGTCTGGTTTAACTTTCAAAAATAAAAGTTAAGAAACATTTTGTATTCTTGTATTTTCATCTTCATATCATTAAACATTAATTTTATGAATAATAAAAAAATTATGCATCGATTAATACCATTAGGTGCAAAATTAATATAAGTTAAAGGTCCTCGCATAATAAATAATGTCTATTATAAGCGCAGTATAAGAATTTGTATTAGTAATTATAATTCTATAATGTAAATATTAATATTCGGTGGCGTAGTAGTGACCATTAAGCGCTTCCAACGATATTTCCCACAGTAAGATAAAGTTTAACTTTAAGATCCACCTTTTGAAGCGCTTTATGATCTAACGTTGTAATAGTATTTACATATCCATATTGCATAACAAACCCAATTATAACAGGTTCATTCTCTTCTATATTTTCATCTGGAGTCACGTGAAGTCTTATTACGGCTTTGTTATCCTTTCGCCAGACCATGAGCCTTGAGAAAAAGAAATATTTTGCAGATTAATAAACCGTGCGTTTAGATAGTCTGAAACACGAACGATACGAATATATACTTAGGATCATCTTGAAAATTATGCGTATCACCGGTATCGTCGTACTCGGCGATATCGTCCCTAAGTGGGAGAATAAAAGAATTCTGAGGCAAAGTCAAATCTGCATTTGCATGAACGTTTATGGGTTTCGTTTCCTCCGCTACAGGCACTTGTCGTACAATAGAAGGTAATAAGTTTGGCGATTCAGACTCCTAGAATCATGAGAATTTTACAAACAATTGCTTCGAAAGAGCAACATAATTGTGAAAATAATTAGCACTTACTTGTTCAAGATTTTCTTGTTTTAACTCATCCTTTTCGTCAGTAACGGTTACAGGCGTCATTGGGCTGTCCAATGACAGTAACGTTATTTGAGTTTGATATTGAGTCGGATTGCAAAACTTTAAAAGCAACTCGCTCGACTTTCCTGGACGAAGTGGTTCACAAGTAACGATTCTCACTTCTGGTATATAATAACTGTAATGACACACGTTCATTGACACCAAGTCTTTAGACGCACATATGAAAATTGATTGAACGTAAACTCACAACGCAGCAAGTTGTATCTTAAACTTCACAGACTGCGAACAGAGGTCCGGCTTACTGAGACTATGCTCGCAAACGCGGCATCGTTGCGATCTTTTAACTAAAAATTGTCTACGCTGCGGTCGTAACTCGTGTACGTTCTCTGCCTGCACGTCCAGATGTTGCAGTCGCTGTTCCAACGTAGTAACTACGTGTAAGAAATACTAGCTTGATTTTTGCGACGATGATACATTGCAAATCGACGATTCCAATATGAACGAATGCTTACTTTTGTTTATATCTACTGGTTTTGTAAAAATATCTGCTGGCAACTCCTCGACATCCGCACTGGCAACAGCCGGTGGAGGTTGATCAGTTGACGGAGCAGCAGGTATCGTAGGGTGTCCAATGTGCTTACGAATCATAGAAGACGTTATTCTGAACATAGTCTGCAAGAGAACACAATGTGTCATTCGAATATAAATTATACTTTAACATTTATAATGCTGCGAACTTATTACAGTCTGCATGAAAGGCCGTTTGGGTCGAAATTTCTTCGTCTCACATTGCTGTTTCTCTATAGAAGCTAATATCTTATGATAATCGATCAAAGCATTGATTCTACTCATGTGAGGATTCTCTTGTTCAGGCCAACCTCCAGTAGCTACAGAAAAAATGCACAATAATTGTGTAATTCATAAAAACATTTTTATATCATTGTAACAAATATGTATAAATAAACGACGTACCTACAGACTGATCTGGGATTCCAGCATCTCTGGACGTCCATCTACACATCGAACAAGATAGATAGTAAACTTTCTTTGGTGTCGTTTTGACATCTTTGGATTCTTCACCTTCGGTCACTGCTACCCTCAAAGGTACATGACCAGCTCGTGTGCACAATGTTTGAAGGCAACAGGGGCATTCAAAACAGTTGGAACATCTATTGATAAGAAATTTGTTAAGTACTACAAGATTTGATTAATCAGGTATTTAAATCTAATGTTTACCTATTTTTCTTTAAACGAACTTCTGTCGGCGGCACAATTTCCATGCAATTAGTGCAATAATGAGAGTCGACCTGTTAATAAAAATAATTTCGCATTGATTTCTCTATTGAACATGACTAGAATTTGTTACAACATTGTTTTATAAAAAGTAATATCCGTGGAACACGATCATTATAGCAATTAATTAGATAACATTCGTAAAATATTAGAAATGTATGTACCTCTTGACAGACACAATAACCGCAACGAATTTTCAAGCAATGCCTACAGAAATAAATCTTCGAAATAGGTTTCAGAGAGCCGCAATTACATACGTAACGAACGTAATCGGCTTGATTTAAGTACGACATGATTAAATCTATATTTAATACTAGTCAAAAATATATATATTTTTCTCTACTTGTCATAAAACAAGTGGCACTCCTTTCGATCTAACAACAAGACTTTCTTCGAGCCATCTTACGTTTTTTGCAATTGCAAAATAAGCAGCAAGTAGTGTTACTGTGAAATACAAATTCCCTATATTAAATAATACAGGAAGTAAATTTGATCATTACTCTAACTATTTATTAAATCATTATTCTTATTATTGACTAACAAGTATTATGCATCATGCGTGAAAATATTATTTTCATGTAAAATAAATTCGGCTCGATTCGGGAGCAAGTGGCAACTGCACTCTCACTCACTATAGACGACCATGTTCAGATTAATCCACGAGGTTTCTAGAGGATTCATTAAAAACATGTAAAAGAAATTGAAAGCAAATGTTATGAATATTTGTTATTCTGCTCGAAACAAGACAGTAATAACTTACGTTATTAAATAAGTAATTGATACATGTTCAAAAACTGTTGAACATCGATCTGTTTTTGTAATTCATCCTAATCGTTGTTACTTAAATATATTTAACAATGTTTGCACGAAGATTATTACAAGAACATAACATTCTGAGGCATTACAACATATTAAAACGATACTTAAAAGAAGCTTCAGCCGCCTGTCCTATGGAAACGCATTTCGAACCTCTTGCCAAGAAGAAACCAGAAAGGCTATCTTATTTGAAAGCTTTAATCTCAGGAGAAGCTGACAAAGAAGCTCTTACTTATCCTGAAGAAATATCTCCGAGGTATGATGATTTTTTTAAATGGATGAAGTCAGTAGAATGTTACATGTCAAATTGTACTGCATCAAACAAAGTATTGAATAAAAAAGAGGTGCTGGATCAGCTTAGAGAACTTGAAGTGTTCAGGACACATATTGACGAACAATACTTTGGCTTAAACTTATCCAATACAGAGTCACTGAAATTGGTTGAGACACTTAGTAACTTGCCGTGGTTGGGTGCCTATATAATAAAAAATCATATTTTACCAGTTCAAATAATATCCAAATATGGATCAGATCAACAGAAAATGAAATATTTTGCAAAGATCCTCAGTGGTGAAGTAATTCCTTCGATATGCATCTATGAAGAAGGTGGTAGGACCAATATTAACAATATTAGCACTTATTTAATGAGAAATGATACAAATTCATGGCTCTTAAATGGTAATAAAACATATGTTGTTAATGGTACCAGTTCCAATTTGTTTTTGGTTTTTGCAAAAAATGAGCAACCTTTTACAAAGATAACTGGTCCAGAGTCATTCTCGTTATTGCTAGTTGAGAAAGATTTTGGAGGTGTAACTTGTACAAATGTGTACGACACAATTGGCAGACATGAAACGCCCACTTGTACGATCAATTTTCAAGATACAATAGTACCTCGTGAGAATCTCATAAGCACTGGTGCCCCTGCGTTTAAAATATTATTAGAATATTTGAAACCTGGACAGCAAAATATACCTGGTCTGGCAATCGCTATTTTGAGAAATTTTATAAACCAGTTGATACCAGACATTTTAGATATGAAACATTTCGATAGAAATTATTATGAATTCGATGTTGTAAAGAAGACTATAGGAGAAATATCGTTTTCTTTATACACCATGGAAAGTATGGCATATCTGACAACTGGATTAATGGATAAATATGAGAACCAAGATGCTGGATTAGAGAGGGCAATTACTGAAAAGTATTGTGCCAATAAATGTTTAGAATCCATTCAGGCAGGAATACAGTTGGTAGGCTCACGGAGTTATGTGAATAATAAGTCGTACATGCAAGCGTTTCATGATGCCATAGCTTTGTCTACAATGGACGCAAATAACTTCGATGCTGATACGTACATAGCTGCAAAGATGCTACAATTCATTGGAAAAAAGTTGAACGATCGCATATACAAGAAAAGAAAGTTCTTAGAATTTCCTGTATTCAATATGATGGATTCACTATTTGATAACTCGCGTATAAGCATATCTGACGTTGAAGAGCATCTGCATCCATCGGTACTCGATGGTGTCGAACATTTAGAACAGAGTATAAACAAATTTAGAGACAGTATAATGACAATGTTCAAATTCAGCGGAGCAGAGATTTTGGACAAATATTCCGATATGCAAAGAGTATCCCAAATGTTGACCGAAATATATGGAACGTATGCTAATTTATTACGTGGGTCAAGAGCGTATGCTATCGGTGTTCGAAACGCGGATATTGACAAGAATGTGAGTGTTCGAATGGCATTTACGTCTTTGATGAGAGTAACTGCGATTGCTGAAGAAGTAAATGCTGGCCCGGTGCAGAACGGAGATAATTGTTACTTGACTACAGCGGACGTTTTATATAACGCGCATAAATATGCTCTAGACCATCCTTTGAAGAAGACATTCTAGACATTTAATTAATATACCAATTTCATATATTGTACAGACGAATGATAAAAATAATATTGAGTAATGTAATATAATAAGCAAACATGTTTCCATTAACGATCATGTATTTATATGTGAATAGCAGTGTATAATATCTCTTACACTATATTAAATTTAAGAGTAAAATAACGTCTCTTTCTCATGACTACCCTAACACAACTCTTGTTTTTAGAAAGTGTTTTTTAACGAACCTTATACCAGGCATTAGAATTTCATTTTACCACTACTATGAATTCGACTGTATGTGTACACGAATAGGTGGACGGTATTTTCCTACAAGAAAATCAAATTCTCCTAAAACTGGAAGTTCGAAGTTCTATTAAATTTATTTTAATCGTAGTATCACTATAATTTCTCAGCTTGAACAATAACGTGTTCTTCCCTGTATAAATCCAGCGGAGACCAACAACTCCTTACACAAGTATATATTAACACAGTCCCGAATTCGATTTGAAAATGCTTTTCGACCCGTGGTTGAAGTATCAGTTTGGAGATGAGTGTAGGTAAAATCTGTACTTCGAATATCATTTCACCGCCGCAATGCCGACATTTCCCGACGCATCCGCTTATTGGGTATAATAACAACGGTGTAGAATTGTCTCGACAGTACCTGAAGAACGAGATAAATTATACAGCAATCCTGAAAAGTTAACAAAACTTTGTTTAACTCTGTTCACGTCTTTACCGTAAAAGTTGACCAGGGTTCTTCTGTATCTGAGTGACGAAATTATGAAACATCTCATCACCGTGCATTGGAATGCCTTTTTCGTATTTTTCCAAATCCGTTTCTGTACTTTTGCCTTCGTTCATGTCCCCTCCGGCTTTCATCGACAAATCTGGATTTCTGTATTGATACTCGAGAAGTAAATCGCGGACGTGTTGCGACACGTCTGGAATGGAATCTTCTTCTTCGACGGAAATAAATATTTCGACGAACGACAATTTTTTATCATGCGATTCCAGTTGCATAGGGAACGGAGTTACTTCTCGAAGTAAACCAATTAAATCGCATTGAGGATGGGTCGGAGTATCGATACAAACGACTTCACTCTCTTCCCCGTCAATTTCAGCAGATGCTTGAGGAGAGTCTAATCTACCTACAGCACCTACCCCAACTGGGGATTCAATGCTCGCTGGGCTGAAATTATAATAATAAAGAATATTGTCATTGAGATTTTTATTAATTCTTAGCATACCTATTCGCATTAGGATCATCAACGTGCAATGCAGAGAGCTCTTCTCTTATATTTTCATCAACCTCCTTTTGCAAGGAGAAGTGAAGATCTGTTAAATTATTTGGCAATAAATTATTTCCATTTTGTTCGGAGTTATCATTGAAATTATCACCCCAGTCATCTGCATCTGACAACCATGATGTCGTAGGTGGTACATTTATACTGGTAGTATCAAAAGTATTCGTCTTGCACTCATCCTCCGATACTTGTACTCTCAAACAAGTCCAACTTTCATTTTGATTCCAACAGTTCGGATTGACGCAAGTAAAAATATAAAGCGTCCTGTGATACTTAGAATTATCTAATGGAACATACAACTGCAGAGCCAGGAGTTGATACAGTCTGCATAATCTGCACTGCGGTAGTGACAACGTATTCTTTTCATAACAATTCTATAAGAACGATTAATAATAATCATATGATATAGACTACGAAAAATATATTAAATTATACATCGATTTCAACCGCATCGCGAGTATAACGCAGTCAACTGAGAAAATAAATCGAAAAGTAGTTTGAAGCTGCGGGAACAGGAATTCAGGTTCCGATTAAAATGTAATTTATCTAAATATGAACTGAAAGGTGATTTAAGGCAGAACTTACTGGAAAACCACCGATCTTATTTGTCATGAAGTTAATACTCGGCCGATGTTTATCAGTGACATATTCATCTTCGTATCCCAGGTACACTTTCGTCCGGTTATCACAAGCCATTAAGTTTGATTAAAACTATATTTCCTCATTGGAAGACTTCGTAATAGGATAGAGAATATTTTAACTCTCAATTTGCGGTTGTATTCAGCGGTGGACAGCTGACATGTATCAGTATCAGTTCACGCTTGCGCTTTCAACAGTATCCTGTGGCTCTTATCGATTTTTGAATACTTTATGTATAAGCAAATATTACGTAAAAAAATTAGGCTTTATTTATATAATATCAATGACGTCGACAACAATGACTGGGGAAATGCAAATGAATATTTTCCTAATTGGAACGAAGTACTAAATGTTTCTAATTCGTAATATGTGTAATATTCCTCTCATCTTAAAATTAGCATAATCCCTATGAATCTCGTCCTACGCGATATCGAAACGTATGTATATATTTCTCCAATATAATAGCTGAATAACCTCTATAAACGAGAAAATTAAATCTCGCGCAACATAATTATAAAAATATTGCAGACCTATCAAAATTCGGCGTGACGATTTCAATGAACGAAGCGTTGCGGTGAAAACCCTGCTTATACGATCGACATTTCGGGATTGGCTGTAATTCCTGTTCGTGTGAAGTTTTTAGATATATATGCATATATATGTGTAGAACAACTGTATATCACTGTATGTCTAAAAAAACTACCATCAAACGTGGTGCGTCTTGTTTCTCGAAATCGATCGTTTTCTTTCCAAAAGGGTGCACCGAATCGGTTTTAAATCAGGACAATAAATCGAAATCGAGGTAACGACGAAGCGATAGGAGAATCATTGGTTGGGATGTCCGATTTTAGTTTGTGACGTCATGCGCAAAACAGTTCATTCCTTATCCCCTCCGTATATCTATCCAGCTGTCCGTGGTTTGGCAGTCCGGTGAACGAATTTCTCAGGGTGATTATCACGTAGGTTTTTATGCTGGTGGCCTTTTCCACGTACGATAGTGGGAAATCCAAGGTGTTTAGATATCGATACGAGATCGAGTGCCAATCGGAAACCTGTTAGGTAGAACTAATTTTGAACAACCTATAACGGTATTGCACGGATAGGGTGGCCTTCGGACTTGACAAAAGGCAAAGACGTGCATACGCAGCAGAAACAACTGGCGTTCTCGTATATGTGACGAGATTGTTCAGGTACACGTCGTGCGGAGCCGTGATTACTTTTATTCGGGAACAGCGTTAACGTGAGGTGTGGGACGGTATCGTAACGTTCTGGGATTTACCCGATTATCAACGATTTGGGAGCGACGAGCCCATTCGTGAGGGATGTCTACCCCCGCAAGAAGGAGACTAATGAGAGACTTTAAGAGGTATAATAACGAAAACTGAAGCTTTCTATGTCATCATCATTTCGTGTGTCATCCACCGCCATTGCGGACGATATTTGTGTTTGTATATTTTGCTGCCCGTAACCTTTCCGTACGATCGAGATCATTGAAAATTTCACTATGTAGATACTCCTCAGGTTACACGGACGTACGAACGTCATTGTGGCCCATCTTACAAAGTTATTATTAGGTGCTTATGATCATTTACTGCGTTTCATTTGCATCCCGAACCAAGTTTCTCGATGATTAATCGACGAATTTTAATAGAAAATTATGTTCGGTGATGATTCGAGGATCGTTCAACAAGAAATCGTGTGCGACTGGTGAACGACTACAGTTTTGTTTATATTGTGACATTCTCAATCGATTCTTAAAAATATTTGAATGAGATTTCACGTTTTATTTATGTTCACGAATTACAAATACATTTCTGCGTTTCCTTTTTTCTTCCGTAAACAATTTCCTTATTGATTTGTGCGGAACAATAAAAAGTATGTATGAAAATATCTAGCGCTTCCACCTGTATTATTTATAGTGTGTTGCTAAAAAATGTTTTATATAAAAAGGTATTGGCACGACATTGAGGCCTGCGAGAAATCTAAATTTGTACCTCTTTGTGTTAGGTTTATATTATACAACTTCCTGAATGAACTGTACAATTGTTCAAGTTTATTGTTTCTTCCAACAGATTACAAGAAGACCCACCCACTGGAGTTTCAGGAGCACCCACAGACAATAATATTATGATATGGAATGCAGTTATATTCGGGTAAGAACATATATATTTTTTAAAATACTACTTAGCTGTTCTTGTTACTTAATTCTTGACACATTTCTTTCTTCTCTCTTTCAGACCACATGACACTCCATTTGAAGATGGTACCTTCAAACTCACAATAGAATTTACAGAGGAATATCCAAACAAACCACCTACAGTCAGATTTATTAGTAAGATGTTCCACCCCAACGTATATGCTGATGGAGGCATCTGTTTGGACATATTACAGAATCGTTGGAGCCCTACTTACGACGTCTCTGCTATTTTAACATCCATACAGGTATTTATGTACATTTAATAGTCTCCCTCGTAACTGATCGTAGTAACACTAATTACTCTGTCCATATTTTGTTCATACGTATCCTTACGACGTTTTTATAACGAGATACAAGTGTTGCATGCTAAATTTCACATAACCACTGATCGTTCGTCTTGTATAGTAAGTATGAAGCAGTAAAAACCTGTGAAATGGATGTTTAATTGAAAATTAATTGTTGACGATTAATTGAAAAGTATTCCATCTTAATCACCCTATTCTTACATATTCAACTTTTGATTTTATAATGTAAGAAATAATTGTAAATGTATTGTGCATGGAAATTATTAAATGTACGAGATGACTAAAGAATCAGATGCTTGTATT